GAGTGAACAGGTGGATGGAAGACTCTCTCTCTCTCTCTCTCTCTGCCTCTCCTTCTCTCTGTGTAACTCGGACTTTCAAATAAATAAATCTTTAAAAAGAAAAAAAGGAAGGAAGGAAAAGAGAAAGGAAAGGAAGAAATAAAAGGAGAGAAAGAGGACAGAGGGAGGGAGGGAGGAAGGGAGGAAGGAAGGGGCACTTAGTGCACCAGTTATGAGGTCCTTTAAGCAGATTTCCTTTCCAGTGATAATCCCCAGATATACAACGTTTATAGACCCTCTTCAGTATCCTACACACCATTCAAAAAATAAAAATGGGTGATGCCACACCAGGAAAATAAAAAATATTCTATAATACACAGGTAAATTTCTACTATTTTTATAGGTCAGTGATGACCAAAGAGAAGCTCCTGAAGTATGAACTGACCACAGCATATATTTGTAAATGTGGTTGTGAGTGCAGTGCTGAGCTCCCAATGGAAATAGAAGCAGCATGCTTGACTACAGATGCCCCTTAAGTGGGTGTACCTGGCTCTCTGTGAGCTTGCTAGGAGCTAATCATTATTTAAATCACAAAGTGGGAAAGCCCACGGGATCTCAGAAACCAGCTGGTCATATCCGCTCACCATTCATGACCTGTTTTGATCTCAACTGAACCTGGGGCATCAAGCAGAGTTCCTGGCACACGTTATGTGGCTCCAGTTGTTAGGTGACTGGGTTCTAGCTGCCGAGCGAATGAGTCTTCCTGAAATACCCTTGCTCAAGTCTGCCTAGAATTAACTTTCCCCTGACTCTTCACCATGCACCCACCAAGAGGGGTGGTGGCCCAGTCTTCCCCCTGTACTTCTGTGCTTACCCTGCTCGTCACCGTCTTCACCTTCTCTTCACCTATCCAAATCCTACACGTCCTTTGAGGACCTCCTCTTTGTGAACCCCTTCTCCAGTAAACCTAGGCCATATTAGCTTTCCTTTCCTGAAAACCCTGCTGTGCTTACAGCTAGCACCATACTTGATCACTAAAAATGCTAATGTTCCTGGGCAGGGGTTTGGCCTAACAGTTAAGGTGCTGGTTAGGATGCCTGTGTCCCATTCTGCACTGCTGGGTGCGAGTCCCAGCTCCAGCTCCTGAATCCAACTTCCTGCTAATGCAGACCCTATGGGAGGCAACAGGTTATGGAGTCAAATAATTGAGTTCCTTCCACCCACCTGGGAGACCTGAACCGACTTCCCCGCTTCTGGCTTTGGCCTGGCCCAGCCCCTGCCAGAGGACACACTTAGTAATCAGTAATTTGTAAATGTTGGGGCTAGCATTGTGCCACAGTAGGTTAAGCATTGCCTATGACACTGGCACTCCATATAGGGTGCTGTTCCAGGTCATAAGCACCACTTTTTTTGTTTAAAGACTTATTTTTTCGGGCCAGTGCTGTGGCACAGTAGATTAAGCCTCCGCCTGTGGTGCTGGCATCTCATATGGGTACCGGTTCAAGTCCCTGCTGCTCTACTTCTGATCCAGCCCCCTGCTAATGGCCTGGGAAAGCAGTGGAAGATGGCCCAAATGTTTAGGCCTCTGCACCTGTGTGGGAGACCTGGAAGAAGTTCCTGGCTCCTGGCTCCTGGCTCCAGATAGGCCCAGCTATAGCCCTTGTGGCCTTTTGAGGAGTGAACCAGTGAATTGAGGACCTCTCTCTCTGTCTCTCCCTCTCTCTGTCTGCAACTTTGCCTCTCAAATAAATAAATCTTTAAAAAAAGCAGCTGGACTCAAACCAGCACCCATATGGGTTCCAGCACCGCAGGCAGCAGCTTTACCCATTACACCGCAATGCCAACCCCTGCTCCACTTCTGAACCAGCTCCCTAGTAATGGCCTGGGAAAGCAGCTGAAAATGGCTCAAGTTCTTGGGCCTCTGCACCCACTTGGGAGACCAGAATGGAGCTCCAGGTTCTTGGCTTCTGCTAGCCCGGCTCCAGCCATTTTGACCATTGGTGGAGTGAATTGGCAGATGGAAGATCCCTCTCTTTTCTCTCTCCCTCTCTCTGTAACTCTGCTGTTCAAATAAAGAAATATTAAAAAAAAAAAAAGAATTTGTAAAGGCTTTAGGAGCTCAGTGCTAGCAACCAGAGACAAAGACCAAATAGATGTCATATTATACTGCAGACATGAATTATCATTTATTCATTCAATAAGTGTTGATTGTTTTAAATTTATTTGAAAAAAAGAGTTAGAGAGAGAGAGAGAGAGAGAGCGAGAGAGAGAGAGAGAGAGAGAGCTCTTCCATCCACTGGTTCACTCCCCAAATGACCATAATGACCAGGCCTGGGCGAGGCAAAGCCAGCAGCCAGCAAAACCAGGGGTCCAAGTACTTAGGCCATCTTCTGCTGCTTTCCTAGGTGTATTAGCAGGGAGCTGAATCAGAAGTGGAGCAGCCAGGACTCGAACTAGTGCCCATATGGTGCTTAACCCACTATACAATAACGCTGGCCACAAGAAATGTTTACTAAACACATACTATGTGCAATTATGCAAGAGAGACAACAGGCCATAATAGTGAGCAAAAAAAGACTTTACTCAGTGTTCTTGGTATTATAGGACAGTGACAGAGACAGATTTTAATCAAAGGAGTCAGATAAGTAAATATCAGATCACAATAATACAATGGCTCACATTCATGGAACACTTATTATGTGGCTGGCACTATTCCAAGTCCTTTACAGGTATTGTCTATGAAAAAACTAAAAAGTGTTATTATCCCACTTTGCAGATAAGGAAAATAACAGTTGCGGTACAGAAAAATACATGATGCTTCAGTTTTTGCATTAAATAAGATTGCCAAGATGAATGCTTTTCTAAAAATGTACTTACACGCTTATTTATTTATTATGAGAGGTAGACAGAAAGTTTTCAAATGCTGGAAGCTCCCCAAATGCCCGCAGTAGCCAGTGGAGCTGGGAATTGGGAATTCCATCTGGATCTCCCAGGTGGATGCCGGGGACCCAAGCACTTGAGCCTCCCTGAGTGCACTTTGGCAGGAAGCTGGAATCGGGCACAGAACCAGGACTCGAACTAGACACTCTGACAGAAGATGCGGATACCCCAGGCAGCATCTTAACTACTGGAACAAAGGCCAGACACAAATAAATGAAATTTTTTAAAGATTTATTTATTTATTTAAAAGGCAGAGTTACAGAAAGAGAGGGAGACACACACACCAACACACACACAAAGAGAGAGAGAGAGAGAGAGAGAGAGAGAGAGAGAGAGAGAATCTTCCACTCTCTGATGTACTCCCCAAGTGGCAGCAATGCCCAGGGCTGAGCTAGGCCAAAGCCAGGAGCCAGGAGCTTTATCCAGGTCTCTCACGCAGGTGGCAGGGATCCAAACACTTGGGCCACCTTCCACTGCTTTGTCCAGGCCATTAGCAGGGAGCTGGTTTGGAAGTGGAACACCTAGGACTTGAACCTGCACTCTGATAGGGGATGCCAGTGTTACAGCTTAACCCTCAGCACCAGCCCAATAGGTGATTCTTTTTGGTAGAACCCTTAGATCCATGCCTGGCTTGTATGAGTGTCCTTTAAAAAGTTCATAGAAAATGGAGTTAAATTGTGAGTTTATTTTGGTGCAAAAAAATTTTGAGGGGCAAGCACCGTGGCACAGTGTGCAAAGCTGCCACTTGGGATGCTCACAACCCATAAAGTGCTGATTTGTATCCTGGCTATGCACAGCAGAAGACAGCCCAAGAACTTGTGTACCTGCCACCCCCAGGGGAGTCCTGGTTGGAGTTCCTGGCTCCCGGTTTCTGCCTGGCCCAGCCCTGACTGTTGTAGGCATTTCGGGAGTGAATCAGTGGATAGAAGACCTCTCCTTTTCTCTCTGTCACTTTGCCTTTCAAATAAATAACAAATAAATCTTTTTAAAAATTTTAAATGTTCTGTTTTTTCATAATGCATAATTTCCATGTATTATGAAAAACAATTTTGCATAAAGTCAAGCTAATATTTTTTAAAGATTTATTAATTTATTTGAAAGGCAGAGTTACAGAGAGGCTGAGGTAGAGAGAGAGAGGTCTTCTATCTACGGTTCACTTCCCAAATGGCTGTAATGGCCAGAGCTGGGCCAATCCAAAGCCAGGAGCCAGGAGCTTCTTCTGGGTCTCCCACGTGGGTGCAGGGGCCCAAGGACTTTGGCCATCTTCTACTGCTTTCCCAGGCCATAACAGAGAGCTAGATTAGAAGTGGAGCAGCCAGGACTCAAACTGGCACCCATATGAGATGCCGGCACTGCAGGAGGCAGATTTAGCTGCTTTGCCACAGCACCATCCCCAAGCTAATATTTTTAATTCCATTTTTTCATGTCCTTTTTAAAGTTATCTCTTAGACTTGAGTATTAGCTGTGATGATGAGAAATTAAAGAGACAGAATCCTGTTAGATACATTAAGGTGTTGTGATCTGAAAGAGTAGTAGGCATGAACAAGGAAAAGTGCATGGAGAGAGGAGGGGGAGGGTATGCAGCTCTCAAAGGGAGTAGCACATGCAAAGGCCCTGTTGGGGGAAGAAAGCTAACAGAAAGCCACCAGGCGCATGACATCAGATGAGAACACAGAGAACTGCTCGATTCTGCAGGGGTCTGGCTGTGTTAAGGATTTTAGTCTTAGGATTCGGTGAAAGGTTTCTAACGGGGAGCTTATTTGATCAGATAAACATTTTATGGGATGATTTTGGCTACTGAGAAGACAGAATTGGAGAGCGCTAAGAGTGGATTTGAGCAGGTGACCAGGAAGCTTTCGTGGCAACACAGGGAGAAGTAGCTTAGATAAGACTAGCAGTTGAGTAGGAGAGCAGATGGAATTAAGATGGGGGAAAAAAAAAAAAGAAGATTTTGTGATCGATTAGAGAGGGTGGATGATGAGGGACAAGACAACAAGACGTCAGGGCAATGCCTGTTTTTGATTTGCACTAAACTGGGACTCTTGGAAAAGCCTCATTTTGTACATACTGCTGAATTTCAGGTGCCTCTGCTGTGCCCGGGAAGAGTTACCAGGGAGCCTGAGTGCAGATGCGTGATCAAGGCTGGAGTCTTGGATGTGGAGGTGGTCGGTGAGGTCTCAGGCGTGAATGTGGCTATTCAGGGCAAGGACCAAGTGAGCAGAAAGCCCAGGACTGAGCTCTGGGGGGTACTCTAGGGCTAGTGTCTGTAGAAGAGGATACACTCACTAAGACATCAGGAGTGGCCAAAAGTTCAAGAAAAAAATCAAGAGAGTGCTGTGTCCTGGAAGCTGAGGCAAACGGGTACTTCCACGAGGAAGTGGTCAGTTGTGTCCACTGTGACTGAAGTGTCAATATGATGACTGAAACGTGTTGGATTTAGGGGCAGTTAGCCCACCTATTCAGGTGATGGTTGGGATGCCCTCGTCTCACATGGGGAGTGCATGAGTTAGATTCCCAGCTCTGGCTCTCTGACTCCAGCTTCCTGCTAATGCAACCCTGGAGAAAAATGATGGCCCAAGGATGTGGGTCCTGCCACTCCCATGGGAGACCCCGATTGAGTTCCCAGCTCCTGGCTCTACCTGGCTCCTGGTTTCAGCCTGGTCTAGCCCCGGTCACTGTGGACACTTAGGGAGTGGGACAGTGGGTAGGATGCCCCCCCCCTCCGCCAATAGATAAGCAAACAAAGTGTTTGTTGACACCAAAATCTCACCATGAGGCATCGGTGAGCTCAATCAAGGCTCCTCAAAGGACCCCAGAGAGGAATCCATTGCACAGTGAATGGAAGGAAACGCAGATAGTCAAATGAGGAGAGGCACAGGATGCCTGGGGGGGGGGGGTGAAAGGAAAAAACTGAAAGGAGCCGGTGCTGTGGTGCAGTGGGTCAAGCAGCTGACCGCAGCACTGGCATCCCCTGTGGGCACCAGTTTGAGTCCCCGCTGCTCCTCTTCCGATTCAGCTCCCTGCTCATGCACCTGGGAAAGCAGTGGAGGACGGACCAAGTGCATGAGCCCCTGCACCTACTTGGGAAACTTGGAAGAAGGTCCTGGCTCCTGGCTTCAGCTGGCCCAGCCCTGGTTGTTATGGTCATCTGGGGGTGATGAGAGT